TTGGAGTGGTGGTCCTTGTTTTATGGAGGCTATTTCTTCAACAAAGAAAATTCTATCCCAAGAAGAAAATGCTCGGCTTCACCAAATCAAGAGATGGTTAAAGCAAAGAAAAATATAGTTGCTAAGCAAAATTCTAATCCCAAGACCAACGAAATGGTTTGAGGAAGTGTTGATGGGACTCTTGGTGTAGTAGCAGACGAGGACCATAGCCACGGTGATCATAATTGGCGTCACTTAGGGAGAAAATTTGGTACTGACATCGTTGGAAGGAACACCACTACTTTTAATGACGTGGGGTCAATTTTTGATCGGCGTTCCTAGCACTTCTCAACCATTGGCTACCGATATTGTACCGGTAATGACAGAATCTTTCATTTGTCATTTCAATTTATTATGCCTCAATATATATATATATATATATATTTGACTCCTCTTTAGCTTGTTTTGACAGTTGCCAAATGATGACTTTGATTTGGCGTTTGGAAATGAGGATATGAGACTTCTTAATGAGTTCTCAGATAATGAAGCATCAGCTCATGGGCCATCAGCCTTTGATTTAGTGATTGGTCGTAAGAGTTGTCTCTCAGTGGACCCAACTCCAATTGTCCAAACTTCTTCCTTACCTGTTGCTCCTACATGAGTCAAGTTGCACCTTCTGTGGCTTCTATTATTGATATAAGAAGCATGATCTTTAATGCTTGCCGCTCAGTAGCTTCAATACTTGATAACCATATTAAAGGTTTATTGAGCAAAACTCCTATTCAGAAAATTCCAACATTGGGCCCAAAGCTCCAAGAGCTTTATGATGAGCTCTCAAAGCTTCAGGTAGACTATTCTCCATTGCAAAGCCAGATTGAGAAGTACGTACAAAATGCTACTATGTACATTTTTATGAAATTAGCGTTTGCTCAAGTGATGACTTCAGAGCTACAGGATCAGCATTTGGCAGATGCCAGTCAACATGTCAATCATGCTCTAGCTCTTGAGAATGAAGGAGTTGAGCAGGTTCACTTGTTGAAGTCTGATTTGGGTAGCCTTGTAGCAAAGAAGGCAAAATTGTTAAAGGCATTGGAATATTTAGATGAACAATCACGATAACTAGTGACTACACTTAGTGTTGCTGAAGCTGAAGTAGTTCAAAGGCGAGACATTGTTTCCACTTTAAGGGATGAACAAGCTACGTTAGAAGCAGCTAAGGTGATAAGAAGCGAGGATATTGAAGTCGCCAACAAGTTAGAGCAGTTTTTGGAGGTTGAACAAGGCGAGATTCAGAGTTTATCATGGTTGCCATGATTTATTTATTTATTATTGTTTTATTTCATTTTTTATTTTATTTTCATGAAATGTAGCTCGAAACCAAATACTTCGTTATAAAATAATTGCTTTAGCAAACACTTTATTTATGAAATAAATATTATAGTTCGAAGCAAAAATACTCTTATTGTAAAACATATTTGGTTTATTGATTTATTTAGCCATTCACAGTTCACACTCATGCAGGCCAAGAGTAGTACATTTTTTTTTAACAACTTTATTTCATATGAGCCAAAAGCATCATGCAGTTTATGCTCATGCGATTAGGAGCGTTACATTCTCATGGATAGTAGCGCTTTAGAACCTTGCCATTGATTGGGCCAACTCTAATACCTTCCTCATCAACAATCTTGTATGCTCAATTAGTGTAAACTTCAGTCACCACGTATGGACCATCCCACTTGGACACGAACTTGTTGCCAGTTCGGTGGGTAGTGATAATAGGTCTTCGAACAGCTAACACCAATTCTCTAACATGAAAAGACTGAGGTCTAACCTTCTTGTTGAAAGCTCTGGAAAGTCAAGCTTGGTAACACTCGAGTTTTTGTTGTGCTTCCAATCTCTTCTCATCCAGTGCTTCTAACTCAGCAAGGCGTAGTTTTGCATTCTCATCATCAGTGAGACCTTCTTGTATAGCTATTTTTAATGAAGGAATTTGTTGTTCCAAAGGAAGAATCGCTTCAACAATACACAAGGGAGTATGGAGTGGCTTGTGTTGGGGTACGATGTGTCGTACAGTATGCCCAGAGTGCTTCTCCAATTCTTTAATGCCAATCCCGCTTTGATTTAGCAAGTACCTTTTTCAATAGGTTGCCTAAAGTTTTGTTAAACGCCTCTGCTAGTCCGTTGGTAGGTGCATTGTACATTGAGGAATTGCGTTGCTTAAATCCAAACCTTTCACAAAGTTTGTCCATTAGACTGTTGTAGAAAGGCTTTCCGTTATTGGTGATAATGTGTCATGACCCGAACCCGCCCCTATGGGTTAAGGACATAACCGGCCAGTAATTAAGGGATTACCTGCGGCCTTAAACCAAACAAGACATAACTTATCAGAGTAAAGGGGCCAAACAGAAGCAAATTCAAAACTTTTGTCCATATAGCTGTGCTTACATGGCATATCATAACAATCCATATATATACATGTTAATAACTCACATCAAAATATGTAACAACACAAAGTTCTGTACATATAGGATCATTCAAGTCTAAGTCAGTTAAACCCAAAGTTTATGTACAAAAGTAATCCATTGTTTTCGCCAATATAACAAAACCATATCAAAAGAACAAAAGAGGCGAAGACAAGTCTCGTGCGTAAGACGCTTGGGCTGGCTCTTCAAAACCTTGACTGTTTCACACATACTTCACTGAGGCTGGGTTTGGACCTTCCTTGGTTACCTACAGACACATGAATGAACGTGAGCGAAAGCCTAGTGAATAATATTAGATAAAGAAGGTGCGTAAATGAGATTCACATATTTCAAACGGCCTTGGGCTCATGTAGAATTCTATTTAGTGCGTTCTTTTGGTACATTAGGCGATTCAAGCCCGAACATATCAAACAGCCTCTGGCCCACTTCGTTTTTGTCAAACGGCCTTCAGCCCATTCATTTGTATCAAACGGCCTTTGGCCCAATCATTCATTCATGTCAAACGGCCTTTGGCCCATTCATTCATGTTAGACGGCCTTTGGCCCATTCATCCATGTTATACGGCCTTTAGCCCATTCATTCATGTCAGACGGCCTTTGGCCCATTCATTCATGTCATACGGCCTTTGGCCCATTTATTCATGACAGACGGCCTTTGGCCCATTCATTCATTCATTCGTGTCAGACGGCCTTCGGCCTATTCATTTTCTCATTCATGTCAGACGGCCTTTGGCCCATTCATTCATGTCAAACGGCCTTTGGCCCATTCAATTGTATCTAACGGCCTTTGGCCCAACCATATGGCATAACAGATATTTGTCCTCAATTCAATTTTAACAAACTTATAAGACTTACATAGAAGTAGGCAATTGGACAAATAACATACTTCAAATATCTTTATTAAGATATTATTCACAATGTTCTATCGGTGGATTTGCCCTGGAGCTCGACCCTACACATTACATAACACATATGGGTCATAATTGATTCAATCCGTTCTTAATTTATGCATTCCTCTTAGGCTTCTTTCTTATTCTTTTAATTCATTCATAATGCTCAATGCATGCCTAAGAGTACTTAAGAGTGAAAGAGAACAAAAAATGAACACAGAACACCTTTACAAATTTTTTAAAATAGGGGTACTCGCTCGGGCGTGGCTTTGGCCGCTCGAGCGGACCCCTTGGGTCTGCAAAAATACTGGTTGCCTCATTTTTACGCTCGAGCGTGAAGTCAGACGATCGAGCTGAAAGTCACTCTACATAGCTCCCCGCTCGAGCATGAACTTACCCGCTCGAGCAGACATCAATGTCTACAAAATATTCTGAGAGCTCGCATTTCACGCTCGAGCGGCGGTTCCCCAGCTCGAGCGGACTTTATGAATTCTGGGTTTTCCAGAACTGTTCTTGGGGCTCAAATTCGACCTCCAAAGGTCCAAAACTCATAATTTTGGTTCAAAACATGCAAATACATTATATCACATGAGAATTTAAGTACATGGGATCGAATTGTTCAAAATCACAATCTAATTCTCAAATAAATCCTCATTTCTTTTGTGTTGTCCAAACTTATGCACTCAAGCTTCATACCAATTTCATAACTTCATTAATCATGCATGCATGTCAAATTTTGACTTCATTTCTATTTCAAATGGTGCAAATGGTGTTCAAAATCATGAAGCTACACAAAATTACTCATGCATGTAAGGTTTGGTGCTCAATTTTTCATATTCAACATGCTTCATGCTTTAACATACAAAATTACAACAATCATGCACATGCATGTTCATACAAGCTCCAATTTCAACAATTTCAATTCAAGTTATGTTCTTGACCACCATTCAACTTTGAATTCACAAGGTTACAAACTAAAATCCATGAATTTACTCACCTAGGAGCTTCAAACACCCAAATTCTAGCTAATTCTTTGAGTTTAACTTCCAACTCTCAAGCCTTGAGCCAAAATTGCACAATTCTCCCTCTTCTCTCTCTAGAGCCGACCCTCTCTCTCTCTAAAGTGTAAAATCTGATTTTTGAGCTCAAACCCATGGATGTAATTGTATAATGCCCCCTTTATATGAGCTCTCATAATCACAATTAATTAATACTAATTAATTGAGCACTATTTCATCAATTTAATCTATTTAATTTGATTTGAATCAATTTTCAATTAAATTTCACCGTAGGCTCTAAAAATTACGCTAATCACAATGGCGTAGTCAATTTCGGTTTTTGTGGCCAATAAGGCCTTCAATTTTCAGTTTATAACAGTAAGTTGAACAGATATTCCTACAGTGAACAGATAGAAATTCAAAACCACATATATTCATATAAATGACACTCAAAATCACATCAAACACATAATCACATTCGTAATTAAGACTAATTAGCATAATATGGAGCAGGGTTATAACATAATGTAGCGAGGTATACCATACTGATAAATAATGTGGGATTTGATGAAATCAACCACAGTTTCTTTCTTGACTTCTTTAAGTAGGACGACTTCAGCTGACTTGGAGAAGTAATCTGTGGCAGCCAAGATGTATAAGTGGCCTGCAGAAGACTTGGTCAATGGGCCAACTACATCTAGACCCCATGCATCAAATGGCCAAGAAACAATTGTTAGGTGTAAAGGTTCTGGTAGTTGATGGGTAAAGTTTGCATGAAACTGGCAAGGTTAACACTTTCTTGAGTAGTCCAAGCAATCTTTAACCATCGTAGGCTAATAGTAACCCATCCTTTTTACTCGAAAGTGAAGTTTAGGACCAGGCTGATGCGCTTCACATATCCTAGAATGGGCTTCTTCCATGGCTTGTTGAGTTTCTTCATCCTCTAGGCAATGAAGAAAAATTCCTTCAAATGATCATTGGAATAAAGTTTCCTTGTAGTAGATGAACCGAGGAGCTCGACGTCTTATTTAAGTTCTATGGCGAGAATCATCAGGGAGCTTCTCGTGTTCAAGGTAGTTTATAATTGCCATTCTCCAATCGTTAACTTCAATGGCTAGTACTGAAATTGCGTTTGTTTCTACAAGGCGACATTCCAACAATTGTGGCAATACCTATTGTTGACATCCAGGGACACTAACTTGTTCACTTCTAACAATGCCAGTGTAGTTGCTAGATTGGCAAGTGCATTAGCCATGCGATTTGCTTTCCTTGGAATATGTTTGAGTACCAACGCCTCGAATTTTTCAATGAGGTGAATTGCATACTAGAAATATGGGACTAAGTTATCTTTCTTGACTTCATAATCCCCTCGAAGCTGATTAATTATTAACTTAGAATCGCCATAGACATCTAGGTCAACAATTTTTAGCTCTGTTGCTATTTGCAATCCAATGATCAAGGCCTAGTACTCAACAACATTGTTTGAGCAATTTTCGCTAAGAATAAATGAGTAAGGCAAAATGTGCTTTTGTGGTGAAACAAAAATGACACCTGCTCCTGCCCCTTTCTTCCTGGCAGCCCCATCAAAGAACATCATCCAAGGCTATAAAACTTCTATGAACAATACATCTTCATCAGGAAATTCCTCAGAAATTTCCCAATTAGCAGGGATGGGATGGTCGGCCAAAAAGTCTGCAAGGGCCTACTCTTTCACCGCTTTTCTTGGCACGTAAATTATCTCAAATTCATTAAAGACGAGAGACCATCTTGCTAAGCATCCTGAGAGGATAGGCTTAGACATAACATGCTTTATGCACTGTATGAGCTTAGAAATAATGTCTCAATTTTTGAGAGGCAAAAACAAATGCCAAACACATTTTCTCTATGGGTGAGTACTTGAGTTCCTTTTCAATTAATTTGTGACTCAAGTAATAGAGTGCTTGCTCTTTATTTTTTTTGTTATTTTAGGCCAGCATCGCTCTAAGAGACTCTTCTTAATCCGCAATGTAAAGTATCAATGGTTTCCTCTGAGTAGGACCTCCTAATATTAGTGGATGAAACAGGTATCTCTTAATACTATCGAAAGCATTTTGACATGCCTAATCCCAAACAAATGGAGCCTCCTTTTCCATCAGTCGACTGAAAGGTTGACAACGACCTGCCAAGTTTGCAACGAATCTTCGGATATATGCCAAGTGACCTTGGAGGCTTTTAAGTTCCTTCAGGTTTTTTAGTGGTGACATTTTTTGTATAGCATCGATTTTGGACTAATCAACCTCAATGCCTCTATGTCGAACAATAAAGCCGAGGAATTTTCCAGACGTGACTCCAAATGCGCATTTGAGTGGATTCATCTTCAAGTCATATTTTCTCAGCCGGTTGAAGACTGCACGAAGGTCCTCTAGGTAATTTTCCTTTTTCTTAGTTTTGACCACAAAATCATCAACATAGCACTCAACAAATTTATGGAGCATGTCATTGAAGATCTTTTGCATGGCACGTTAATAGGTGGCACCGACGTTCTTGAATCCAAAAGGCATCACTTTATAACAATAGATGCCGTTTGTGGTACGAAATGCAATTAACTCTTCATCCTCAGGTGCCATCCATATTTGGTTGTATCCTGAACACCCATCTATGAAAGGCAACATCTTGTGTCCGGTAGTGGCGTTTATCATTAATTCCATAATAGGAAGCGGAAAGTCGTCCTTAGGACATGCTTCGTTCAAATTTCGAAAGTCGACACATATTCTAATATGTCCATTCTTCTTGACTACTGGGACAATACTTGATATCCATATCGGATATTTTACTTCTCGTATGAAACCAGCTTCGATCAACTTGTTGACTTCTTCTTCCACTTTTAATTTTGGAAACTCCAAAATTGACTCTAATTTCCAAGAAACAAGCAATTTATTTATTATTTTATGGACGTGATTTGCATTCAAATTTAATTTAAATTTGAATTATTCCACTAAAATTTTGATAAAATATTTTCACGGGCCTCACGCATTTGGGTTGACCCAATTGTCAAAATAGGTTCGCTTTTCTTTTGGCATGACCTATAATTTAAAATGGGTTGAGATCCATAATTTTGGTAGGACTCTTATTCATTTGAAAATTTTGACCATCTTAATTTTGACCAATCAAGAAAATTTATTTACCTTGATTAATCAGACGGTGATCAAGACACGTCTACACTACTATTGAATGTTGCAATGTATTGACAGTGAGGAGCTCTCATGAGTTTGAACCCGAATGGTTAAAACTTCTTCAAGAGATTCAACAAAAAGTAATTATACCTGCTAGATATCCTCATCCGATGCTGAATTTTAGGGACTACGATGACAACGAGGAATGGAAAGCCATGAAAGAGTGGCTTGACAAGCAGTCTAAAGGCTCAGTGGTCTATGTTGCATTCGGGAGCGAGGCAAAACCGAGTCAAGCCGAAGTCACTGAGATAGCTCTAGGGTTAGAGCTATCCGAGTTACCATTTTTTCGGGCTCTAAGGATGCGATGTTGTTTGGTGGATATTGATATTGTTGAGTTGCCAGATGGGTTTGAGGACAAAATGAAGGGATGCAGAGTGGTGTGAACGAGTTGGGCCCCTCAACTCAAGATACTAAGTCACGACTCAGTGGGTGAGTTCTTGAGTCACTCTGGGTAGAGTTTGATGGTTGAGGCAATACAATTCGAGAAGGCTCTTATTTTATTGACTTTCTTGGTGGAGCAAGGATTGATTTCTGGGCTTCTTGAGGATAAGAAGATGGCATACTCGGTACCTAGAGACAAGTGAGATAGGTGGTTCACGAGGGACTCAGTGGCCAAGTCACTAAGATTGATGGTTGAGAAAGCGGGGCAGATATACAGGGAGCAAGTTAAAGAAATGAAAAGGCTATTTCTGGACAGGAATGTTCACACTACAACATATAAAAGTTTTAGGGATTAAATTTTTTGATTTTTAAAAGTAAAAATTTTGTTGCAAAAGACATTTAGAGACCAATTTCTATCGTCGCAAAGATAATCGCTAAAAGGTCATCTCAAAAAGTCAAAAATAAGATTTTTAGCGACAAAATTTTAAAAATGTCACTAATAAATGTACTTTTAGAAACAAAAAATTTGGTCTTAAAAAGGTTTATTGTTTAAAACAAAAAATTTGGTCCCAAAAAGATAATAATTCATCACTAATATCTAATTTTTTGTTATTAAAAATATAATAACGCCACTTTTCTCAATAAAATATTTAATTCCTAAAAAATAATTTTATTCTTAAATTTTGGTTTCTAAAACTTTGATTTTTGGTAATGTCAAAGACAAATTTGTCAACAACTTGTTGGATTATTGTAATGTCAAAGACAAATTTGTTTGTTGGATTATTTTAAGGCTCACAGAGTGAGTGAAATGAAGTGAAGATGCAAAATTGGAGGAGTGATTTAAACCAACCAATCAGTTCAAACAAAAAAAAAATGAAAGAAAGAAAAAATTAAACCAGCCAATCTCTCTTCTTCTGTCAAAATGGGAAACAAACAAGTGTTTATAATTTGTATTTAACGTTTAATGTGGTAAGGTTGTGTGTCATATGTAATATTAGTGGGTTTGATTATTATAAATGTCATAATTCAATCTTACCGGAGTCTCTAAAGGGTCAGTGGTCTATGTTGCATTCGGGAGCGAGGCAAAACCAAGTCAAGCCGAAGTCACTGAGATAGCTCTAGGGTTAGAGCTATCCAAGTTACCATTTTTTCGGGCTCTAAGGATGCGATGTTGTTTGGCAGATATTGATATTGTTGAGTTGCCAGATGGGTTTGAGGACAAAATGAAGGGATGCAGAGTGGTGTGGACGAGTTGGGCCCCTCAACTCAAGATACTAAGTCACGACTCAGTGGGTGAGTTCTTGAGTCACTCTGGGTGGAGTTTAATGGTTGAGGCAATACAATTCGAGAAGGCTCTTATTTTGTTGAATTTCTTGGTGGAGCAAGGATTGATTTCTGGGCTTCTTGAGGATAAGAAGATGGCATACTCGGTACCTAGAGACAAGCGAGATGGGTGGTTCACGGGGGACTCAGTGGCCAAGTCACTAAGATTGATGGTTGAGAAAGCGGGGCAGATATACAGGGAGCAAGTCAAAGAAATGAAAAGGCTATTTCTGGACAGGAATGTTCACACTACAACATATAAAAGTTCTAGGGATTACATTTTTTGATTTTTAAAAGTAAAAATTTTGTTGCAAAAGACATTTAGAGACCAATTTCTATCGTCTCAAAGATAGTCGCTAAAAGGTAATCTCAAAAAGTCAAAAATAAGATTTTAGCGACAAAATTTTAAAAATGTCACTAATAAATATACTTTTAGAAACAAAAAATTTGGTCTTAAAAAGGTTTATTGTTTAAAACAAAAAATTTGGTCCCAAAAAGATAATAATTCATCACTAATATCTAATTTTTTGTTATTAAAAATATAATAACGCCACTTTTCTCAATAAAATATTTAATTCCTAAAAAATAATTTTATTCTTAAATTTTGGTTTCTAAAACTTTGATTTTTGGTAATGTCAAAGACAAATTTGTCAACAACTTGTTGGATTATTGTAATGTCAAAGACAAATTTGTCAACAACTTGTTGGACTATTTTAAGGCTCACAGAGTGAGCGAAATGAAGTGAAGATGCAAAATTGGAGGACTGATTTAAACCAACCAATTAGTTCAAAAAAATAAAAAATAAAATAAAAATAATAAATAAATTAATTAATTAAACCAGCCAATCTCTCTTCTTCTGTCAAAATGGGAAACAAACAAGTGTTTATAATTTGTATTTAACGTTTAATGTGGTAAGGTTGTGTGTCATATGTAATATTAGTGGGTTTGATTATTATAAATGTCATAATTCAATCTTACCGGAGTCGTAAAGAAATTTTTTAAAAAAGAAAGTTTTGACCAAACACTATAATTAAATAGCTTTTGGTTATAACTAATATCACAATCATAACTAATATCACAATATATTATAATTAAAAACCATAAATGTTATAGCGATCCCGGGTTTACCCTTGTTGTACAGTAATCCGGACATGTATCCGTGGATGTTGGTAGTTGGTTATTATCGTGTTTACATTCCTTTTCTTCATATTTGAGTTATAGGATGTGTTGGGCAGGTTTGTTACAGGTTGGTTGTGTTCGGGAGCCTAGTGTTGCTGCCCAGAATTCTGGACCTTCGCTCGAGCGAGGAGTTGGTCGCTCGAGCGAGAGTGGGGTTTGTGTTTGGTGGGTCGAGCCAGAGTGGCTCGCTCGAGCGAGCGGTTGCTGTAAGCCCGTAGGGCATTTTGTTATGAGGTTAACATGTAATACTTATGTAATGGAACTCTAAGGAAATAAAGGAATATGGTTAATTATATGTAAATGCATGTCTTATCTGATGGGTTTATTGTTGTTATTTCGAGGGCGTTACAAATGTCATAACTGTTAGAAATAAAAATGCTACACAACAATACTCGTACAAATTTGAAAGAGAATTGTAGAAGAAAAATATAACTCTGGTAGTTCACTCATATTATTCATTGCATGAAATTGGTGACAAAATTATTTTCTCACCAAAAACAAAATTATTGACTACGAAAATAGTTTTCTCACTAAATGATATCAAAATATTAAAAATTATTGGTGACGAAAATATATTCGTCACTAATAATTTTATAATTGGTGACCAATTTTTTCCTCACCAAAAGTCTCAAAATTTTTGCGCCACCCAAACAAATTAGTAGAAAAATCTTTGGTGACAAAAAAATTAAAATAATGACGAAAAATAATTTTGTCACCTAATTTTTTTATTATGTATCGAGATTGGTGACGAAATTTTATTTTTCTCTCTAAAAATGGTACATTTGGAGACGAAAAATTATTTTCTTCATTAAAAGGTATGTCTTTCATGACAAAATTTATTTTCGTCATTAGTTTTCGTCTCTAAAGACTCTTTTTGTTGTAGTGGCATTCTCCTACTCAATCTTCCATTATATAGATTAATTTCATGTTTGACTAATTTAAATTACTAGCTAGATTTGTTAGGCCAAATTCACTAAAACTAAAACTAAAATATCTACATTAATAATTAATTTGATGAAATTAAAATTTAATAATTTACTCACTATGTTTGAATCACCTTCAAATATTGTATAGAATAAAGTGATAGTAACATATTCAAATAAAGTATATAGAATAAAGTGACGGTTGTTATATCTATATCTATACAATATATATAAAGCACGGATGCAAAGTGAATAGTATTTTCAGCCAAGTATGAACAGTATTTTTTCAATAGTTGAATAGTCAATTTTGCCCTTGTGCTTTATAGCTTTTCTGCTTTAGATACAAGGGCATTGATGGAAAACTGACTACAAAAAAGATCCGTAGTATATACCTACTCTCTCTTTATATTTGTCTCAGAGAACCCTTCATTCTCTTCCCAACGGTGATCTCCCTCCATTGACCACAATATTCGACCATCTCTTCTCTCCTCTCACTGATCTCCTCCCTCCTCTCTTCTCTGGCGACCGCCGATGAAATCTCCTATATGGTGTCGATTTGTTTGATTTTGTGGGTATTCATAGTGTTCACCAGCGAATCAAAAGGAAATTGAGCCCAAGGATGGAAGAATATGACACAAGCTTCTGTTAAGGTAAAGACATAGATGAAGAATGTTAAGTATTTCAATTTTAGGTTCCTTCTGATGTAGTTAGGGTTTGTAAAGTGTTTTAATTTTCTTTAGTTCTATTAATTTGTTAGGGTTTTGTTCTTTTTATTATTGTTTCCTGTGTGTATATTTTGTGCCGCTCTATTTGATTTTGTGGGTATTGATTTTGGGTAAAAGAGGGTTTCATTGATTTTTTTTTTCTACAAAAAATAATAATTTTAATTTTGGGTAATATTATTCCATTACTTTTTAACTACGCCCATAATAGACTAACTCGCATTGACAATCCACTGGGAAAACAAACCACGCCTGCAAACTGTCATTACTGTCTAACCTTCGATCATAAATATTTACTCTGACCAACCCACTAGCATTGGGTGCGCAAAGGGGGGAATATTTTATCAATATTTTATCAACCTTAATACTTTTTTGTTTGTATCTTAACCTTAATTGAGAAAATAAATTAGGCAACGCAAGTTCAATACAACTGAAATCACTTGCCGAAACACCTTCAACAACCCCAGTTTTTATATCGTCCACCTCCATTAACCTGAACATTAAAAATAAAAATACATCAAATTACAATTCTAAACAGTTTTAAAGTACATTTGACTCCTTAAAGCAATTTGCATTCCTTTCCACTAACAGTAGCAGCCACTAAATATATGGCACCCTTTTGGATGCTTCCAACATTTCCCAACAACGTATCTTTGTAGTCCGTCCAAACATCAACTGGGAAGAACTGGTCTACAACTTCTATCCCGTGATGAACGTACTCTTTGTCCTTGCCACCAACGAGCTTGAATCTCATTTTCTTTAGCATCCGAAACCGGTTGAACTGGTCAGGATCAACAATCCAGGTCTCAGGATTACCCTCGCCAACTCCAATAAATATCTTGTCAGGTGTAGGGA